CTATTCTATTCCATTCCATTCCATATTCTCTACTCTACTCTACTCTACTCTACTCTACTCTACTCTACTCTACTCTACTCTACTCTACTCTACTCTACTCCATTCTACTCTATCCTACTCTATTCTGTCTTTACTCCAACGTGTGTTGCTCAGAGTATATGACAAAACCATGAAATGAAAGGAAAACGAGAGGAGGAGGAGGTGGAGAAGGAAAACATTTGTATTATTGTTTGGAAGTTATAAATAATTCCTGAGCAAGATGTTCTCCTTGGTAGTTATTTCTGCTCCTGGCTCTTGATATGTTGGAGAATCTGTCTATTTGGCTGTCCCTTTGGTACTTGGAGATCCAGCATTCTAGATCGGCAAAAGCAGCATGAATGAAGACATGAAGCAGCCTTCGCCATGCCAGAAGGAATACAAGTGGTCCCTTTCACGGCTGTAATGAACTCATTAATTATGTCAGCAGCTCAAGTGATGGATCTCCAAGCGCTTCACACAGCCTTTGCTACCTTCACATTTCCAAAAGGAGGTCTTCTCACACAGATGTTGCCCGACACAAACAGCCCTATAGATCCATCGATTCCTCCTTCAATTCCTTTTTTTTTCTTTTGCTTTGCCTTTTAATAAAAAATAAAAATAAAACTCCAACTCCCCAGAAGTTGACCGTTTCACTGCCTCCTGTGTTGGTACCATGATGGCAATTGAAACAAACTACTTGGATCCCCAAAATATACCACAAATCACACACATAAGGCAATGCCTTCAATAGGTTGCTTTCATTTTAGTTAAAACTTTAGCCTGAGCTCCTTTCCAATATTTCAAGGTAGTTTTTAGCACCTTCCAGCAGCATTTTTTTTCTTGATGTAAACATTCACAGATGTTTACCTTCCCAGAGGCTTTGCTAAAAAAAGACTCTTATATATGAGCTAGTATCTGACCTTCCCCGAGCTGAGAAGGAATTCAATGTTTCCAGGAAAACTGAGGGGGGGGGAAGCCAACTCTATTTTCAATTAGAAAGGGAGATAAGTTGTTCCATTACCTGTTAGTTCTACTGATTTACAGCAGGAATACTACAGAGCTCTTTCTTGCTGTAGTGCAGCCTGTATTTGGAGACTTCAACTCGTCCAGAATGCAGCCGCGCGAGCGATTGTGGGTGCACAATCAGTTTTGATCGCCACGATGTAAAAAAAATGTGGAGACTCTAGAAAGAGTGCAGAGAAGAGCAAAAGGATTTAGTGTTAGTGGAGGATTTTAGAAATAGNAGTATGGCTGGGACAGACAGCAGGCTCGGTGGGCTTCAGGGGTCTCGAGGCACCGCAGGGGTTCGGAGGAAGCAGCTGCGCCTGTGGGGATAAATAGGGGGCAACGGAGACCCTGCCAACACCAAGCCATCTAGTAAAGTGGTGGATTATCGAGGACGTTCCACCAGGCGGCGGCCGGGTCAATGCACCCATGGACATGTCTCCAGGGGTTCCATGAATCACCCAGCAGGAAGGGGAAGGGGGGGGGCTGGTTGGGGGAGGGCGCCCTCCCGTGTTAAGATGTTGTGACCCACAAGCGCTGCTGCAGAGAGGACGCACCCAATTCCAAAATACAGGGCGTTGTTCTCTTTCGGAGACGAACGAGGAACACAGAGGGAGGACAGAGAGTGGGAAGGGCGGCCGGCAGACCTCAAGAGGACCCCTACTCTTATTTGTTCCTTGCCTGGGTCTCTGACACTCCCCCCCCCCTCCCCTCGCAAATTCTTTTCTCGCAATCTACCTGGGAAATCCTCAAACAGCCAGGCCGGCTCCGCCAAAGTGGCCTCTCTCCATAGCCGCAGGCTCTCTTGGGTCCGACAGAATGTCAAAGGGTGTGTGACTGTGAAGGGGGGACCCCACTTTCCTTGGGCTGCCAAGGGGCTCCCGCTTGACGTTTTATCGATCAATCTCATCCCTTCGGTTTCTGGAGCCGCTTCCTGTCTCGATCAATAACTCTGGACAGCTCCCAATTCAAAGTTGTTAAGTGGCTCTACTTATTCTACCAACCGAAGGGAAAAAACACTGTTGGAATCAACCTTAAAAATAGGGCCGTCCAACCGTGGCCGCTTTTAAGGCGGGTGGACTTCAACTCCCAGAATTCCATAGCTGACTGGGGGGATTCTGGGAGTTGAAGTCCACACGCCTTCAAGTGGCTAAAATTGGACCCCCTTGCTTTAAAATAGCCTTCTTTCTGACACAGGCGAAGAAGATCACCTCGTCGTGAATCAAGGCGGGACATTTCCCAGCACCTTCAATTCAGAATTCGGGCCCATCAGACTCTTTAGCTTCCCACGGCGTCAGCCCGTCCTCCTGCCTCGACCCCCTCATCCACTGGCCATCCCCTGCCTCTAAGACTCCCAAGGGCTGAGGTTTTGAGAGGGGCCAGGGCTCGGCCGTCGGCGGGGAAGCGCAAGCAGGGCCAACGCCAGACAAATGCCACCCGTTGCGTGACCCATTCCCAAGACGATCCCATAAAATCTCTGGAGGATTTTACATGCTGGATCTCTTTCCAAAGGGGCTCCATGCAGGCAACTTTACGCGCCAATCCGCTCTGGGGGCCGTGGCACACGGCAGAGGGGAAGGGGTGGGTGCCCGACTTGAGGCATGGGACGGCTTGTCTGACTCACTGCCTGGTTCCTATCAGCCAGGGGGGAAGGGGGTTCAGCGCTTCTACAGGTACAGCGGAGGTTGGACCTGGCAGCCGCCATCGGCCAAGATTCCGGGGAAAACCTCCTAAATTTGGAAGACTTTTTTGCCTGTAAGCTCCCAAGCTCTGTAAAACCTTCGGAAAACCCTACTTGCCCTCCACCAGCTTTCTAGAAGCAAAAGCACAACCCAAGAGTTGTCGGGATTCTGCCCGCCAAGCCCACTTCCCTGGAGCCTACGGGCGTTTCGGGTCGCTGGAGGCTACGCAGTTGCCGCTGATGGGTCTCGTGGTCCTAACTGTATGGAGCAGTTTCTGGAGGCGTGACACACAACTCTGTACCTGCTTCTTTCGACTCCTCTTTACAGCTTTCCTGCCCCCTCGAGCCGGCGATGAAGGATGAACGGACAGGACAGATTGCTGGCGATCTAAAGCAAAGCGTGTTTCAGGCCCCGCGCTCCCGAGAATCCATGCTGCGGCACCGCCTGCCCGTCCGCAGCGGCGAGAAAACACACACCAGAACGGCACACAAGTCCATTGTCTCGGCTTCTGGCTTTGATTACTACACAGTGGGAGGGTCTGTGGGCCACAGCTCTAGGATACAGCAGAGTTCAGTTCAGTCTGACAACGGGACTGGGGGGGGGGGACTCCAACCCATTCCCCAAATGGAAAAAAAGAAGAGGGGGGGGGGCGGGGGGGGGGACTCCAACCCATTCCCCAAATGGAAAAAAAGAAGAGGGGGGGGGGCGGGGAGAGAGAGAAAGATCCCTTCAGGAGAGCAGGTTTACCCTGCCAGCTTGCTGGTGACGAGGGACGATTTCCTCTGGGGCAGATCCTGGGGGGTGGGGATGTGGTCGCCGGTCACCAGGTTATTGTCGGTACCCGCCGTTGGCAGCTGCTTGTTCTTGATTTTGGCTTTGGCCATGTTGTAATCTCCAGAGTCGAAGTACTTTTGCTGGAGAAGAAAAAAAACAAGGGATGAGACTTGGGTCATCCCAAGGGATGGAGGGGCGGCCCCGAGACCCCTTGTCTGTCCTCCAAGGAAAAGCGAAGCCGTTCAGAAGAGGGGATTCGGGGCTGCCGCTTGGCACAAGGTAGACCCATCCAGATGCCGACCTCTCGCCCCCCTCCTGCTTCCCCCCTGCCACCCATCAGCAGCTGCGGCCACCCATTCCTCCAAATGGTGGCCTATTGTTTCCTTTAGCCCGGGGGAATTCTGGGAGTTGAAGTCTCCACAAGTCTTCAAAGTGTCCAACGTTGAAGACCCCTGCCTTATACCCACCTAGCCACCGACCAGCCCTCTCCCCTCTGCTGCTCCCTTGTGCCACAGAGGGAACTGTTCCGGTTACGTTCAGGGCGAAATAGGGGAAGGACTTTGCCAGAGAAGTTCCCAGCCTATCCCCTTTCGAACGGAGATTTTCCCCACCGGGTGGGAATCCTGCAAGCAGACCCCGAGGGTCTTCGGACTCCCCCGGGCACCCCACAAGCCAAGGCAGCCACCCATTCACTCTTATCAGCTGCCACCCAGCCGGGCTTGGCTTTATCGCCATTAAACAGCAGCCGCTGACTTTTTCCCTTCCGGCCACCCTGATTTCCCTTAGAAGGCTCCTCCTTCCCAGGAGAGGGTCTCGGGGGGGCTCAATTACCCCTTTCTGCAGCCTCTTCATTAAGAAGTCAGATCCGCCCGGCTTCTGAAGTCCTATGTTGGGATATTTGGCTTTTAATTTGGCCTCCTCTTCTCTCTCAGGGATGCCCGTTTCCTTCTCCTGCGTGTCCTGAAAGAGAGCAAGGCACCCAAAAACCGTAATAACCGAGAACAGCCGTTAAGAAAATACTTCCATGTATCAAAAGAGCCATTCTGAGTTCTCTGGAGGGAGTTCGGAGCGCCATGCTAAAGAATAAAGCTTTTTTTTTGCAAAATTCCTAATATGTGCTTTGAACGTATGTCAGGCCTGGAAAAGCTAACTTTGGCCTTTTGGCCACGCTTTCTACTGTGGGAGAATGGGATTATAGGGAGTTGGACGATATGTAGCCATAACAACATTCTTCTTAGAAACTCAAGGTCATCTTTTGTCTCTTCACCTGGCTGGAGGTGGATGGGAGGAATCTTCCCTTNAAGATCACGGCAGATGGGGACAAGAAATTAAAAGACACTTGCTCCTGCGGAGGAAAGCTATGGCAAATGTAGACAGCATCCTAAAAAGCAGAGACATCACCCTACCAACAAATGTGCGCATAGTCAAGGCTATGGTTTTCCCAGTTGCAATGTATGGCAACCCGGACTCAAAAGGCGTCAAATGTGCTCATAGCTCCACACCAGTGGTGAAATCTAATCCCCCCCCCAAACTGGTTCTGTGGGCGTGGCTTGGTGGCGGGGTGTCATGTGACTGGGCAGGCATGGCCAACCTTTTTTCACTTTCAGCTTTTTAAAAAGCATTTTCCCCTGATGGTTAGGGGGTGCGTGTGCCCCCCGTGTTGGGGGGGGGGAGTTGAACTAAAAGCCTCCGGAGCCTGGGGAGGGTGAAAAATGGCCCAATGGCCCAACCGGAAGTTTGAACTTGCGGTAGGCCCGTTGGGCCTGTTTTTCACCCTCCCCAGGCTCCGGAGGCTTTCCTGAAGCCTGAGGAGAGCGAAAATGCCCTCCCCTGGCTTTTCGGAAGGCCATAAATCAGTTGGGAGGGCTGCCATGCGTGCAAATATGGCTCTGCGTGCCACCTGTGGCACAAGTGCCATAGGTTCGCCATCAAGGTCCTAGGAGAATCGATGGATTTGCACAGCAGACCAGAGTGTGGCAGTTGAAGGATGGGAAGCCAGATGGCCCACTGCGGTCTCCTTCCTGCTGACACCCATTAGGATTTTGATCAGGCTGACAATGAGCAGGTTTCGACTGGGGAGAAAAACCAAGGCAGCTACTCCTTGCAATCTGCAGAACTGAGCCCTTGGCCCAAGTTTCAACACAAATCCTGCCTTTTCATCCAGTCTTTCTGTTTCAAAGGATTATCAGGGAAATGTCTAGGGAGATTCTCCATCCCCAAAGGTGCTTTTTTTTTTCAAGAAGCAACTGGACTTTCTGGCTTTCTTTTTTCTTTGAAGACCTTTGGCTGAGGAAGCTTCTTGGATGAGAAGCGAAACGTCTTCAAAGAAAAACACAGAAAGCCCCGTTGCCTCTTGAAAAAAGCAGCTTTGGGACGATTACCAGTGAACTTTCTGGGGCCTTTATTGGATGGATCTCAATAAATGAAACTCCCTTTCAAATGGAGAATGGGTTCGTTTGTTATTTTCCTTACAAATCCCCACCCCCACCCACAAAAAAGGTACACCTGCAATCGATTTGCTGCTTGTTCAAACTCTTCAGGTTATTCACGTCAAACGCTTCGCTCAATACACCGATAGGATGCTTAGGAAGCATGACTGCTACACCATTGCGCATTGTCCCGCACACAAGCTCAATATTGTGGCTTGTTAATAAGAAACAGCGGAGAGTCAATTTCTGGCTTTTGAAGACAAGAGAGAGAAAAAAATCCACTGCTGGATCATCGACGCTTATTCGCAGTTCATTTTATCAAAAGAGCAAGCTTGGGACGCCTGCACAAAAATTAAAATTCCTCCCCCCCCACCCAAGAAAAAAGGAAGAAAGGAAAGAGAACCAAACAACCATGATGGTACACAGATCAATCCTTTCTTAGCTGCTGTTATCCGGCAACTGTCTTTGTTAGCCAACATGCTGGAAAGTATAATTATATGTTTAGTTTTTTCAGTTCCAAGAACAATTCCGCTCTGAGCTGCACACTGGCAAAGGAAATGATAGGGAAATGTAATTCATCCATGGGTGCAAAAGTGATTTGTTTTTTTTTCAGAGCTGGGATGTGTGATGATTAAAGGCCTGGAGACCAAAACATATGAAAAACGGTTGCAGGAACTGGGGTATGGCCAGTCTAGAGAAAAGAAGGCCTAGGGGAGGACGCGGGAGCAGTGTTCCAGACTGCCACAAAGAAGAGGGGGTCAACTTAATTTTCAAACTACTAGTCACCCCTAATCCTCCTTTTCTCTAAAATAGTCATAACCCAACTTTTGCGACTGTTCTTCGTGTGTTTTAGTCTCTGGGCTTTTAATCATCTTTTCCCCCAAAGTCTCAGAGAAGAGCAACTAAGATGATTAAAGCTTGGAGAATAGAAGAGAAGAGAATAACAGAGTTGGAAGGGACCTTGGAGGGCTTCTAGTCCAACCCCCTGCTTAGGCAGGAAACCCTACACCACCCTCAGATTAATGGTTATTCAACATCTTTTTAAAAATGTCCAGTGTTGGAGCATTCACAACTTCTGGAGCAGGTGTGGGTTCCAGCAGCCACTACCACCGATTTGTTCGTGGGTGCGTAGCGAGTGCACACGCTTGATGCATGCTGCACACGTATGCACAGTGCAATAAAAATTGTTCTGTTCATGCGCAGACAAAGCCAAAAACAAGATGGTGGCGCCTATGGCCATAGGCGCCACCAGGAGAACCAGTTCGGGGGCGTGGCAGGCCTGGGTCGCTGCTGGGTTCCAGTGTCCCAGGTTGCCAAACCACTAAACCAAACCGCTAGGAACCCACCACTGTTCTGGAGGCAACCTGTTCCACTGATTAATTGTTCTAACTGTCAGGAAATTCCTCCTTAGTTCTAAGTTGCTTCTCTCCTTGATTAGTTTCCACCCATTGCTTCTTGTTCTGCCCTCTGGTGCTTTGGAGAATAGCTTGACTCCCTCTTCTTTGGGGCAACCTCTGAGATATTGGAACACTGCTATCATGTCTCCCCTANTCCTAATTGCCAATTAGTTTTGCAAGGCCAAATGGAGCACAGAGTCAAAACGGAGCTTCAGAGTTTAAACCGACCAGAACGAACAAAAGTTGCTTCCTGCAAAGGCTCATGTCTGTTTGCTCCTCTTTTATGTCTTATGGGAGGGGCCAATCATTTCCAAGCCTTACTTCCAAGTTGTCCCTTTTGTCATAACTGTTCTTGCCTTCTGACAGCTCTGCACATACGTGCACTGGGAACAGGCTCCCCCTGTTCCTCTGCCTTGCTAATGTCAGGCTCTGGAGGCAACACATAAATACCAGATGGCCAGGCCCCCTCTCTGCCTCTGATGCAGAGCCTTCGTCCGAGCCTTCCCCAGACTCCAGAACTGGCCCATGTTCCTCCCCAACCTCTTTAATGTCCGACTCCGCTGCCAACTCCGTAGGCCAATGGCGGATCACAACAGGAGTCATCTTTTGCTTCTCAGCCGAAAGAGAATTAGGAATAATTAACCGAGCAAATGTTTATGAATGGAGAGGATTCTGTGGGCAAATCAAGTGGAGGCTCAAAATAGCTTTAACCACGATGGACTCGGAGGCTGGACGATGGGAAGAGAACCTTTTGGCGTGATAAAATTTTTTCCTCTGTCTCTTCCTGGGGTTGCATTTATCATTTATCAGGAGGTGCCATGATCTACGCTGACAAGCTTTGCATGCTTATACATGTATTTTTATTCATTCGGGCTCTGCATTTTTTATTATTATTCTGAGACACCCGTCTTTTAGAAAGAGTATTTTTTTCCTCCTGGAAATATGTTTCGTTTTCTTTTTACAAAGGCTATTCATCAAAAGCGTTATCGCAATTGCAAGTGGGATCCAGATTTCCTTTCCCTCTAGTGCCGTGTTTCCTAGCAGAGGGCATAACCCTCTACAAAGACCAGAAAGGAAAAAATGCAGTGTCCTCCCCCACCTCTTGTGCATTGTTTCTCTGACTGGAGATGGATGGATAGAGAAGGATCCAAAAAGATTTTTGTACTCTGCAAATGTACACTGCATCATGAGAAAGGCAGGACTAGATGAATCAAAAGTTGTAATTAAGACTGCCGGGAGAAATATCAACAACCTCAGATATGCAGATGNATCCAACCGGTCAGTCCTAGAGGAGATCAACCCTGACTGCTCTTTAGAAGGCCAGATCCTGAAGATGAAACTCAAGTGCTTTGGCTACCTGATGAGAAGGAAGGACTCACTAGAGAAGAGCCTCATGCTGGGAAGGATTGAGGGCAAAAGAAGAAGGAGATGACAGAGAATGAGGTGGCTGGATGGAATCACTGAAGCAGTCAACATGAGCTTAAATGGACTCCAGAGGATGATTGAGGACAGGAAGGCCTGGAGGAACATTGTTCATGGGGTCGCGATGGGTCGGACACCTATTGTTGAGTGGATCACTGCAATTGCTAAGTAAGGAACAAGATTGTTAAGTGAATCTGGCTTCCCCATTGACTTATCAGAAGATCACAAAAGGAGAGCACATGACCGCCAGGCATCGCAACCGTCCTAAGTACATGTCAGTTGCCAAGTGTCTGAATTTTGATCACGTGACCAATGACGATGGTGCAACGTTCGTGAGGGTGAAAAAACGGTCATAAGTCACTTTTTTCAGTGACTTTTTTCAGTGTTGTCATAACTTCAAAGGGTCACTAAATGAACTGTTGTATTAAGTCAAGGACTGCCCTGTTGTCCCAAAAATAAGACCTCCCAGGATAATAAGCCCAATTGCGCTTTTAAGTGCATGTGCTAAAATAAGACCTCCACCGAAAATAAGCCATCTCCTAAAATATTGCAACACAGTAGCAGCCATGAAATGACCATGCTCCTGCACCTCAGAAAGAATAAGACATCCCTAAAAATAAGGCCAATTGCTTATTTTGAGGGGCAAAAGAAAATAAGACAGTGTCTTATTTTCAGGGAAACAGTATCTGTATGTAAAGAATTCTGTCTCTTTTGGTCAAGGGTGGAGTGACACTCCAGCAGAGTCAAGTTAGACAATTTATGGAATTGTCTGACACACTGAGTCCCAAAGTTTCACCCTGGTTCAGGTGCTTCTATCAATGACCAGGGGTGAGATTCAGCCGGTCTGGACCGGTTCAGATGAACCGGTAATTGCCGTGAGCATTTGGCCCCGTCCCATGTCCCTGTCTGTTCTGACCCGCCTCCGTATGGTGAGTCACGCTGACACAAGATTACTGCTAGACAAGTTATTCACAGTAAATTAACACACTGACAAAACTTTGGCAGCAANGTATGTATGTATGTATGTATGTATGTATGTATGTATGTATGTATGTATCAGTGGTGGGTTGCAGGTGGTACGCTCCGGTACAGGCGTACCGGAGCGTGCCTGGAGCACCGGGTATCGTTCTGGGACAGTGCTCCGGGGGGCCCACCTGCCCGCTCGAGTTCCTTACCTGTCCTTTAAAAGCCTTCTGCGTGAACAGCGCCTGCGTAACGCTCCGCCGAGCAGCTGGAGCATTGCGGAGGCATCGCTGGAAGGTATGATGCATTGCGTGTTCCGTGCGCATGTGTGTCACGCGCGTTCACGTGGAGGACGTCGACCCCGGTTACAACAGTACCGGTTGCAACGGGAACCGGAACCCACCACTGGTATGTAATATGTACTCGTACAGTATTTCACAGAAGTGATTCACATTTTGTAAATATTTAAGTACATCTTGCCAGCAGTTTAGACATTAATGGTTGTGTGTTGCGTTATTTTGAGGGGACAGCTGTATGCAAGCTGTATCCTCACTACTTTACATTGTAGCCGAGTGTCATTTCTTCAGTGTGGTCACATGAAAAGATGTACTTAAATATTTACAAAATGTGAGGGGGTGGACTCACTTCCGGGATATACCGTACATATACATATGCCTACCGGTATACAAACAAATACACACGTATTCATGGCAGCATCTTTTGACTCCCGTCATGGCTTCCTGGCTAATTTTTGTTATTTAGCAAAGAAGAGAAAATTAATGTCATTTCAATTCTGCCTCCCACTTTCCTCTGGGTTAGCTTTTATATTATATCGTCGCTCTCAACAATTTGCCATCTGCAGTTCCTCTTTTCGGCAACTCCACGTCCCCAGCTATTTTCTTTTGAGTCTGATTCATAACAAAAGCCGTCACAGCCCACCCTTTTAATTGAAGTTGTGCCCTAATTGCAGAGATATTCACCCAAGCTCAACTTCTGTTTCCAACCTTGGTTATATTATCCGGGGGCGGCGTCTTACGAGTGATTTTGGATGTATTTTTTACAGGATTGTGTGTTGTGTATTTGTAATCTTGTTTTTTAAAGGATTTTAGCCGCCTGGAGTCACGTAGCTGAGCTGAGCTTCCTATTCGATCGACTAAGTAAATAAATAAGATTTTGTACGGGGGGGAATCCGCAGTGTTTGAATAGGACTTGGGTTTGGCGTAGATTACAACAGCGGCGTTTGTAGGAGCCGAGGTGGCGCAGTGGTTAGAGCGCAGTACTGCAGGCCACTTCAGCTGACTGCTAATTGCAGTTCGGCGGTTCAAATCTCACCGGCTCAAGGTTGACTCAGCCTTCCATCCTTCCAAGGTGGGTAAAATGAGGACCCGGATTGTTGGGGGCG